ATATATATATATATATATATATATATATATATATATAATTTTATTTTGTTCTCATAATTCATTATGATTGGATAAACATTTAATTACTCTAAGATTATTGTGTAGAAATTAAGTACTTGCAAAGGTAACGTAAAATGTATACGCCAAGAAAGAAAGCTTTTTGGTTCGCAATCACCACTAGAATTGCGATATTGGTGTTACAAGTAATTTTTAATGTATTAATCCCCGATCATGATGCTGATGCGTTTAAAAGACCTTTGGATTCCACGGAAAAAGTTTCCCTGTACGATCGAATAATTTATTTTCTATTTAATGGTCTTACACGTTGGGATGGAGAATATTTTTTACATATTGCAAGATATGGATACACATATGAGAATACTCTTGCTTTTTATCCGTTGTACCCAGTTATGATTCGCATTGTTGCCGCTGTTTTGATAAAAATATTTCCTTTATTCAACATTCAAAGCATGATGATTGTTGCTGCAATTCTGATTAATTTTGTATGTTTTGTAAAATCGACTATTATCTTGTATGATCTCACGAAGTATGTATTTCAAAATACCACGATAGCCTACAAAACAGTGATGCTTTATTGCATAAATCCGGCTAGCATATTTTTCTCGGCTATATATTCAGAATCCATGTTTGCATACTTAACATTTTACACTATGCTCAGTAGTGTAAAATGTTGCTCTGCTCTTAACATTTCTTTCCCGTTGGCTTTGTCAACTTTAGTAAGATCGAATGGTATCGTCAATATTGGTTTCCCTGTATATTTCGGGCTTAAGAATTTGTATAATTCGAAAAAAATGAAACATCAACGACAATACAATTTATTGTCAATCTTATGGCATATTTTTAAATTAATAAAATTAAAAAACTGTTTTATCATATTAAGCACAGTAATTGTATCGCTATCTCCGTTTTTCCTTTTACAAATATACAACTATATAAAATTTTGTACTTTTACATTCGATAAATTGTCATTACCAGTTGACGTATTACATTACGCCATAGAAAATAATCTAATCTTACCAGGTAAAACAGAATCAATGTGGTGTAACGCTAGTATACCTTTAGCGTATTCATACGTGCAAAAAACATATTGGAATATTGGGTTCTTGAGATATTATCAATTCAAACAAATACCAAATTTTATTTTAGCTCTTCCAATATTGTACATTATGTTGAAGTGCATAAAAGAATTTACTTACGAATATAAGGATGAGCTGTATTCATTAGGATTTCTTGATAGTAAAATAGAAAGAGAAAATACTATTAGAGTAAAAAAATATCCATTAAATATGTTTGTCTTCGTAGTACATGGATTATTTTTAACTGTGTTTTGTCTACTTTTTGTACACATCCAAGTCAGTACACGTTTATTAGCATCTGCAACTCCCCTAATATATTGGTATTGTGCATCGACTATGTCTCACAAATGTATTGATTTACAATACGAAAGTGATGAGAACGTGTGTTCTAAGTGGAAAGTATTTTTCTTATCACAAAAAAGATATACATTACAAGATAAATTTATATTATTTTACTTTACAGGATATACAATCATAGGATGTTTTATGTTTTCAAATTTCTTGCCGTGGACTTGATATATCACATTTCATACGTATATGTACGAACGTCTTCCAGCTTTTTTCTTTCTATTGTAAAAATATGTAATTTATAAATTTTCAAACATATAAAGTTTTTTGTGACATGTATGTGTATAAGAAATAAATCTTTGAAGTCGAAAACTATTTGTAAATAGTACTGTAAAAAGTTCATTTTGTATTTAAAGACAGATCTTAATATATCTATTTTTATACATTTAAATTTTAAAACACAAACATTTATCTATAAATATCACATAAATGTATATATAATTCGATAAATAAATGTTACTCATCTATAAGACATTTGTGTATCTCGAAATAAAAGAGAAATCAACTGCATACGTAAAAAAGATTATCTTCCAACATATATTCCATATATATACAATATATAAACATATATTCCATTTATGTACAATAAATAAATAATTTAGCTTGCTTTAATATGCAATTTCTTATGCTTTAATATTTCAATAGGCGTAAGATACAACGTTAGCGAACAAGCGGAACAATCATATGCTTGACTATTAGCTTTACGCGTAACATTTTCTCTTTCTTTATCGATACTAGTCGTATCGATTGCAATTGTACAAGAATTTTGATGTTGAAGTTTTTCGAGACTTGATAGACTTGCTCGAAGATTACAATTTTGGCAATGCCATTCGGTTTCCTGCATTTCTGCAATTAACTGTTCACTCCAATTAGTTTCTTTTACACTGTAATATAATAAGTTTTGTTAATAAAAAAAAATTGACCTCTGTATTAATCTAATATTTAATTTTACATCTGATAGCAATTTAAATAACTTATATCTTATTGTATGTTAATATTTTTTCGTACTCACCAATTATATGTAATATTATCTGTTACATAAACTCCACCTTTAGTTACATTTGGTATACTCTTAAAATCTGTTTCGAAAGGATTAGGCTCTACGCTTGTGTTATTATTGCCACTACCAACATATATCATTTTCAGATCAGCCGGTAAAAGACGCTTTATAGTATATGGTATTGTAGTATGCATATACTCAATTAGTTCTTGGGTAAGATTTTGTTCAATTTTATTAAAGTCTTTTCCTTCATCATTAGCACTATCAGATCCTAAAAAATAATATATGTGTAGTATGTATGTACGTGTGTATGTATGTATATATATATAATACATGTATGTATAATATACATACATAATATACATATACATGATTCAATTTATCTTAGAAAAATATGCATTTCTTACCTTGTAATTGCTGATTTAATAGAAAATCCCACTTCTTTCTTAATTTAGTAGCTCTCATCAATAAAATTTGACCACTGTCAGAGACAGGAAATTCTAACATCAACCACGAATCGCATACCATTCTAAAAGACACTTTTGTTGTCAATATTATTTTATGTCATGTTAAACAGTTGCCGTCCCATTAGAAAGATGTAAAAAAAATTAATTTAAAAAGTTGGCATACTTACATAGAAAACATGCTATTCGTGTGTATTTCATGTGCAAATAATAGCAAAGTTTGTGCAGCAGGCATTCTTAAAGTATTCACCAGATAAGGTTTTGTAGTTTCCAAGAGGGATCTGTTAATAATTTTATCACATTATATAAAGTATTTATATTAAATTTACTCATATTTGATAAGCTATTACGAGCTTATAAATATATAATAAAAACTTACAAATACGCTAATATCTGATGTTTAGAGCTAACAAGTGTCTTGTTCTTAAACCCTGGTATTGATATTATATCTGCATCTTCAATTTGCAGAATTTGTGGATGATTTCCAAAAAAGCTCATTGGATGCAAAGCAACATACGGTTTTGCTTTTGTGTGAAATAATTGTTCACTTGTAGACTGTGTAATAATTTAAAGCTATACTTATTACATATATACATATATACACGCCCCCCCTCACACACACACACACACACACACACACACACACACACACACACACAATCTTTTTTAATACCGAAAATAGTACCATATTTAATAGTACCATAATTTAGAAAAATACGTTCTTTATGTAAGATAGACGGAGAATATAATTTTTACCTTACAATAATTAAACTCGTCGGCGCAAGCAAATTGTGGATATAAACCGCTACATAATATCAATTTTAACATTGTTAAGTCTTTGTAGCTACATGCGGTAGATGCTGTTAAAAGATTCTGCACCTGACTCGAATCATTTCTCATTCGAAATTCTATGTCTTTGATGTCGAGCCCTTCATTATTCTCGTCCCCTTCCAATTGTATATCAAATGTTTCGACTTTTAATTGTTTCCGCCTTTTCGGTTCATTTTGTTTATAGGTTCTTTTGAGAGATTTTAAAAGTTTTAATTCTCCATGCCTTATTGCACGTTCTGCACTCGTCATGGAAGAATTTGGTTCTGGGAGACTCTTGAGTATATTACAGTCCTACATAACATTACATATACGTGTGCACATGGAAACAAATAAGAAGTGCGTATGTTGTAAAGATTATAAAGATATTAAACATGTGCTTGTAATATAAACTAAGTGGATTACTTGGAGTAAGTCTTTAAATTGAGCCCTCAATTTCGTCATTTCATAGAACCGTTGTTCCTCCAAACCTCTTCGTCTGCACCACTTTCTGCTGCTATTACTACTGCTTCTATATTCTTGAGAATTTTCTTGTTTTACTTCCAGCCATTCTTTAAATACATTCAATATAATTGGATCACCATGATCAGATTCTAATCTCTTCCTAGATGTCTATAAGATTGTCGATATTATCTTTTTAACGCGATTAATTGTCATCTCGTGTTATAAATATAACATATTAATGCTAATTACTTCACATTCGGAGTCTTTATATGCCCTATTAGTAAAAGGTGTCTGTATACTTAGAGCAGCCGCTAATGACAATACAGGTTCCATTTGATGAAAAATAGATCCCATTATTAACATCTTCCCTATTGTGATATCAACGGGCAGTCGTGCTAACGTTTTACCAATACACGTGATTTTCTCATTATCCGTGAGTGCGCCCTAATAAGAAAAATTCAACTTTGTGTCTATTCTCCAAAACAAACATGATTCGAATACCAACATGATCTTTTAAAGACAGTATAGCATTTTCTATGCTATTGGCTGGTGGAGGTTCTATAAATGGAAACTTTCGTGCATCGGGAAGTCCCATCGCTATCATTTGCAACAGCGAAGAATCTAAAGGTACACGTTGTAATTCTGGCGTTGAATACCTTTCCAATATTTTATACTCTTCCTCTGAATAAATTCTGTGAAAGAACAACATGTTTATTACACTCGTACATGTAATTATCCGTAAATATTGTTTGACGTAAAACAATTAGAATTCATAGAAAATATTAGACAAGTTACCTATAACAGATTCCAGGTCCAGTTCTGCCTGCTCTTCCTTTTCTTTGTTCTGCACTGGCTTTACTTATCCAAAATTCTTTCAATCTTTGCATTTTACATAATGGATCATAACTCATTTCTTTCACTTTTCCACTATCGGCAACAAATCTAATTCCATCGATGGTAATAGAAGTTTCTGCAATATTAGTTGCAACAATGCACTTTCTAACACCATCAGGTGCATAGTCAAATACCTAGGAATAAAACGAAAAAGGAATTTTTTTGATACTCCTTTGTATTGCTTTGAATAAACTAAAACACTAAACTAAAACACTAAAATGATTCATAAGAATAATATTACAGAAAAACCTACCTTATCTTGTTCAGCAATAGAAAGGGTACTATGAAGGGGTAAAACTATCCAATTATTTTTCTTTATACTATATTCCTTGGCAGCATCCACAACTGCAGTAATTTCACTTATCCCACTCAAGAATATTAATAAATCACCCTTTTCGTCAGCTGAAATATTTTTATAATGTAATTATAATTATAGTGTAATTATTACAATTTTATATTTGTATAATAAATTTGTCATGTCGATGTCGATGTATCATGCTGCGCGCGTTATTACCATAGATAGAGATTTTCCCACCTGAGTATTTTTGGTCAATTATTTGCATTATTTGCACATACGGACTTGGATTAAATCGATCATTTTTGTATCTGAGGTCTTCAACAGTTACAGGTCGATAAAACACTTGAATGGGATATAATCTTCCAGGAACCTATATGAAAAATATATGAATAATCTTAGTGATACGCTCGATATATCTGGTCTCTGTATTTGCATTTGTATTTGTGTCTATATTTGTGTGTACATATGAATGACAGATCTCATTAAATTATTAAAATATTATATAAACACGATATAAAGCGATATAAAAACCTACTTCTATTAGTTTAACGTTTTCCTTTGCGAAGTAATTATTAAAGAGCTCTATATTAATAGTGGCTGACATTAGCACTAATTTCAAATCAGGTTTTTGACAAATAATACATTTCATAATGCCCAATAAAAAATCCCCATGCAGATGACGTTCGTGCACTTCATCCAAGACTATTACATCGTACATAGATAACATTGACTCATCCGATACCTATGTAACACAAATTTAGAATCTATAAAGCTTATAGATAATTTATACGGCTGTAATTCATAAACATTGAAATATCCACCTGACGCAACAATAAACCTTCTGTTATAAATGTAATATTTGTCTCTTGGTTTTTTGTTTTTCAAAACGTATCTGATATCCGACCTTATTAAGATTTTCACTCAATGTTTCAAAGGCGACTCTTTTCGCTAATGAGATACATGCTATTCTTCGAGGTTGTGTACATGCTATAGAACAAACAACAATAATAAATTAATACAAATCAATGCAGAAATTGAAAAATTATATTTGTAAAAACGTAGAATGATCACAATAAGATATATAAAATATTTATTTTGACAAAGAAGAATGTCAGTATATGATGGAGCAGCGTAAAGATAAAAAGCACTTTACCAATCTTGCGGAAACCAGCCTCATATAAGTATTGAGGGACTTGAGTAGATTTTCCACAACCAGTATCTCCTGCAACAATGATTACTTTCTCTCTTTTTATCATCTCAATAATCTTTTGTTTGTATTGTGTAACTGGTAGATTAGTCTGTGTGTTTCGAAGCTTTTTTAATTTGACAAATTTCTCCTTTTGCTTAAAGTCTAGATACAAGATTATCACATCCCTGAACTTAAATAGTTGCGACTTGGTTAATTGTTTTGTCTCGAAGATTCTAGCAAACAATTCTTCATAGGACAGGGCAAGCTTCATGTTTAGACAATGGGATTTGTGATACTTTCCCGGTAGGCCAATGGAATTTAATGCGGAATCTGTTGTCACAGATTCATCACTGTCGTCTAATTGCTTCTTGACAGACTCGTATTTTTCGACAAATTTCCAAAAATCCTCGATATCATGGACGAGATTCGGATTTACTATGAAAATCTTATTCAATTCGTGCTTACATTTGCTAAAACAATATGGATCCTCATTGTTATCTTTGTAAGGATTTTCCGAAAATGAATTTTGCGAGTGAGGCTCTCTCGCGTGATCGGAAGATTTAAGCATATCTTGATCGTTTCGCATGGATCTCGAATAGCTGCGTTTTTCGTCTTTCCAACCATCACGATACTTTTCTCTATAATAATACCTGTTATCATTATCTTCGCGTCTACTGTCGTGACTAGACGAATGACGCTTTATCCCGCTCTTCGATGACATTCGTCTGATTTTTCAACGTCTTCAACTATCTTAATTGTATATTGCTCCCTTCATAACCTCACTTTTCCACTCCGTGATGTATCAATGCCTTATTTTTTATTCCTTTGAGCAATTGTTTTCGATAGACAATATTTTTTTTATATTTTGTCAATCTACCATACGCACGAGATATTTATCTGACATCTAATTGGCTTTAATATCATTAGCATGCAATAATTATCTCTCTCGTTTATGTAAATGCCATCTGATTCTCGATTCTCCGCCTGCCGCTCCATCTTGGGCTAAATATGGGCATGAATCATGAATCGCTAGTCGTTAGCCGCTATCATTGAAAAAAAGAAAGAATATTGAAGGGGGGCGCGGAGATACTTTCCTTCTTACAACATCGATTAATATTGGGCGTTTTCCACCAAGGGATACAGAAGGACACAGTGTAACACAGTGAATCATTTCCTTGTTTACCATTAACAAACAACAAGGATAAAATGATTTACTGTATTATATCAACTGTGTCTCTTGTTGGAAAACGCCTATTGATTATTCTGGATGCGTCCACTTAAGCCTAGTCTATAATGATATAAGTGTCGGTCCATAATAAGTATTTAATCTTTAAACCGTAAGAAATTGACCAATTATAGTCGAGTATTTTCATATTCGATTATAATTTCTTATTTTTTATTTCTTATTTCTTATTTCTTATTTCTTATTTCTTATTTCTAAAGCTTAAATCACCATTGTAGACCGATACTTACATAAGGCTATAGGGTTGGTCCACAATAAGTATTTAATCTTTAAACCGTAAGAAATTGATCAATTATAGTAGATTATTCTTTTCATATTCGATTATAATTAGTCAATTTCTTACTTCTTAAAGCTTAAATCATCTATTGTGGACCGACACTATAACTGTGCTGTGACGTAAGGTTGTTAAGCATAATAAATGAAAATAATTCATTTAAATAGGTTCTTACAACCACGCTTTACAGCCTTATAACCTTATGTTATGTCATTATAGACTAGGCTTTAGGACCTATCCAGCAACTTGCATAGTTGCATATCCATATACATAAAGAAATGAACCAATCACATTTCTAAAATAAATGACGCCATATTGCTTCATAAAATTTAAATATGACATATGCATAGTGTTGAAATTTTTAAAGTACATAGGTAAACTCGCACAGTTAATGATGCATAATGATGCATAAGAAGGTGAACTAATCGTGAATAATATACAATAACATGAATAATATAAAAGACATCAATATTGCTCGAAGTAGTAAAAATACGTCATATACGTAAGCACAAAAATTGCATATCGTTGAAATTTTTATGTTTATGCATATGCAATATTGTTGATTTCAAAGCGAAATATTAATTCATTAATTTAAGATTCTTTTTTTAATGCTCTCCACATGGAGAGACATTTGATTGCCTTCAACCTTCTTTTTTATTACATTTGAGAGAAATTCAATCAGATTACTATGTGCATCTGAGGTTACATGTATAATACGGTGTTTATGTACTGTACGAATTATCTCCTAAGAAAGGTATAGTAAATATATTTGTTTTTCTATAGAAATGTTTAATAAAAATAAAAAGGTAAAAGGAAACATACAATTAAATAGTCAAACGTAATTTTAAATGATATTCTTGAAAATGATTTTTTTTATTTTACAAATGGATTCTGATGAAGATACAATTGATATGAACCAAGATGTTTCATATGAGTATTGTGAGGAAGATACGGATACTATTTTAATTGATCTTGTAAAAAGCTTTCCTCATCTTTAAAAGTATAGCAGATTTCCAAAACATACATAAAAAGGATCGCGCATGGATCGAAATCTTTTTCATTTTAAAGTTATCAGGTAATTTTTATATAAATTGATTTTTATTAAATCAACTATTTATATTTCTATACTTTATTTTTCATTATGATTCATATAATTTTTCTATTTATAGTTCCAGATTGTCAAAGTGGATGGCAAAGGCTTCAAGAAAAATTTTCTCGCGAAAAAAAAAAAGAGAATTAGAAAGTCGAAGTGGCAATGAGGCATCAACAAGATCAACGTTTTCATTAAATAGTCAAATGAAACTTGGATAGTTTTGGATAGTTTTGGATAGTTAAAACTAGAAAATAAGTTTAACTTTTTCTTCAAGATAAACTAAATTACATATTTTTGTATTATTTTCATATAATTTATGTAATTTTTTAGACCTTGTACAAATTTTGGATCGAAAGGAACTCATTATTTTACTGCCAAAATAATGCCAAAAAATACACGTATTTCAGAAAAATATTTGATACATACAGTAGCATCTACAAACAAGTAAGCAATGTAATATCTTTTATTAACATTTAAGAAGTCTTATTTTGCAAATTATCAATTTTAAAAGTTTTTCTACGTTTATAAATTTTTGTTTAAAGAGACAGTTTTATATATAATAATAGCTAGTTATCCTTTTAGCATTCCTTTTTCAACTACTGAGATATTAAGATCATTATTGCCATCATTATCAATTCATCGTCATTATCATCTCCATCTTTAGTTTCAATCTTGTCCTCATCCTTGTTATCTTCAACTTTATCTACTAATATTAATGAAAAAGATATATCACTAATAAACCTATTTTTATCTTTAGCATCATTCCATCTTTATCTCAATCCTCATCATTGTTATTATCATCAACTTTATCTTCTAATAATAATAAAATATCTACACAATCAATAAAACCAAGTACAAAAGTGATACTACAAAAAGAAAACAAATAGAAATGAAATAATAGAAGAGACAAACGAAATAAAGAAATCATTTATAAATTTATCATCAATTGTAACTCAACATCTCTTAGAAAAACAAAAGATGGATGAAGATGATTTCTTTAGTCATACTGTTGCATATCAAATACGAAAAATAGAAGAACTTCGAAAATCAGAATTAAAGGGGAAAATAATGAAAATTTTATATGAGTTATAAAGGTAATTTTTAATTATTTACATTTCATATAAAAAATATATCCAACTATTTTGATTAACATTACAGTTACTCTAATTTATTACCTATTAGAAGTTAGCCCCCCACTTTTAGAAATAACTTATTTTGAGAGTTGTGCTGAATTGTGCTAGGTTTGTGCTACATTGTGCCCGAATTTTAAAACCGTAATGTGAAAAATGTCATAAAAAATGAAAAAAAACGACATTTTAGGCTAGTCCCCCACTTTGCGATTTTTTTAATTTTCTCGATTGTGCTAGGTTGTGCTAGGTTGTGCTAACATTGTGCCAAAATATTATTAAAAAATAATAACAATAGAAGTTATGATAAAAAATAGATTTGGGGAAAAAAATATATAAATGACATTTATTCTTATATCATCTAAAGAGTATGCAAATGCATATCTAATATATATTCGCTTAGCACAAATCGGCACAATCGTCGGTTTCGTCAGCAGAACGATATGAAGGGCACTTTACTCTTGAACGCGATCCTTCGCGCACGCATTTTTTGTTGAAAAATTCAGATTTGTAGTTATTGGATGTTCATAATACTGCATATCTGAGTTGTGCTAGCCTAGCACAAGTTGGCACAACTATAACTTTCGTCAGCACAACAATATAAAGGGCACTTTACTCTTGAGCGCGGCCCTTCGCGCACGCATTTTTTGTTAAAAATTCGGATTTGTAATTATTGGTTGTTCATAATACTGCATATCTGAGTTGTGCTAGCCTAGCACAAGTTGGCACAACCGTCGGTTTCGTCAGCACCGAAACCGACGATTGTGCCGATTTGTGCTAAGCGAATATATATTAGATATGCATTTGCATACTCTTTAGATGACTGATATAAATGTCATTTATATATTTTTTTTCCCAAATCTATTTTCTTATCATAACTTCTATTGTTATTATTTTTTAAAGATAATATTTTGGCACAATGTTAGCACAACCTAGCACAACCTAGTACAATCGAGAAAATTAAAAAAAATACGCAAAGTGGGGGGCGTAGCCTAAAATTGTTCGTTTTTTTTTTTCTATTTTTTTATGACATTTTTCACATTACGATTTTAAAATTCGAGCACAATGTAGCACAAACCTAGCACAATTCAGCACAACTCTCAAAATAAGTTATTTCTAAAAAGTGGGGGGCTAACTTCTAATAGGTTAATTTATTTCTTGCAGAGCTTTCTTTCTTTTACATAGCTGGCAAACATTTGACTCTATACTTAAATAAAGTAGAAATAGCAGAAGGGAAGTCTCCATATTATTTTAGTTTTATTAAAATTGTTTTTTACGCATTACTTTTGCTAATATATTACCTACGTTACTATTACAATATCACCTACCTTACTATTACAATATCAAAAATTTATAATTTTGTTTTAATTTTTAATTAATATTTTAATTTATTATTTGAGCAATTGATAAAGAATATTTTATAAATGTTTAACTGATTTAGTTTCCAAAATGATAAAATATATTTATTGCTTTTCTTGTGATACAATATTGCTTTACTTTGTGATATATTTGATACAAAAGTACAAATATAATATATATTATTAAATGTTATATAATTTATGTTATAAAACTAAATTTTTTTAAGTAAATATTTTTAAATAAAATTTTCATTTAACTATCTCAAAAATAAACTTTTTGTTGACTTTAAGTTATTGCATAATATATTAGGTGTACAAAAAAGTTCTGAGCTTTTTTTTTGTAAAATTCAATCTTTATTCAAAAACAAACAAAAAAAATATTAATCAGCGAAATATTCCCCGTTTGCATCAACGACCTTTTGCCATCTTTCGAGTAGCTTGCGAATTCCTTGACGATAGAAGCTCACCGGCTTCGAAGCGATAAAGTCATCAATGCATTTTCGTATCTCTTCAAATCTCACGAAATGTGTATCAGCCAAATGATGCTGCAGCGACCGGAATAGGTAGTAATCGGAAGACGCCGTCTAGGCTATACGCCGCGTGCGGGAGAAGTTCCCAGCCTAACGCAAAGATATGGTCCTGAGTCGCTTTCGCAACATGTGGTCGAGCATTGTCATGAAATAAGATCACTTTACGACGTCCTTGACCAATAAATGGCCTCTTTTCTTCTAATGCATCGTTCAAATTGGTCAATTGTTGTTGGTAGCGGTCTGCCGTGATTGTTTCACCCGATTGTAATACTCGTAATACAACACACTTTCCGATCCTACCAGATACAGCAAAAGCCTTCTTGGCATGGATATTGAGCTTTGGCGTCGATGTCGAAGGTTGACCAGGGTCAACCCATGATTTTCTACGTTTAGGATTATCATAAAGAATCCACTTTTCATCGCCTGTAATGATTTTGTGCAGAAAATCTTTTTTCCGGAACTTTAAAAGCAAAGTGAGTGCAATGTCATGCCGACGATTTTTGTTGTCTTCGGACAATTCATGCGGAAACCCATCTGCCTTCCTTTCAAACCTTTCCCATCGTATGTAAACGTACGGTTTGCTGCGTAACGCCAAGCTGTTCTGCAAGCTTTTCATTTTGCGCAGAGTTTATATCCAGCAGCTTGCAATTCGTCCGTTTCAATTTTTTGAGGGCGTCCAGCACGCGGTTCATTTTCAAGACTGAAATCTCCTTGGCGAAATTTTTGATACCATCTTTTACATGTAGCATGACTTACAGCATTTCTCTCCATATGCAGCACAAATCATTGCAGTGGCTTCAGCAGCATTTTTCTTCAGATGAAACGCGAAGTGGAAAATCGAATATGCTCTTTTGTTATTGCCATCGTGAACACTACTGATTTTTAAGGTTATGTGCATCAAACGCCAAATCGTATGGCATTTTAGAAGGCCAAATGTCAAAGATTTTAAACCGCAAAAGGGCGAGAAGATATATAAAATTTAAATTATTATTTCGGTTGTATGAAATCTAAAGCTCAGAACTTTTTTGTACACCTAATATATGGGATAATCTTTTGATAAAAAACTTTAAATTTGTTATAAAAATATAAAATAAAATTATATTATTTTAATATTATTACTCTAGTATATGTAATTAATTTATAACAGATGTTACAAATACATGTTGTATTTTTTATATAATAAAGCAAAATTTTATGAAATGATTTTATTCATATACTAAATCACAATTAGATCCTTTGTATATGTATTTGCACTGTCATGTAATTTCACCTCCAGGTGATGACAAATATTTAGTTAAAATACCTCATTGCTTATATGTTTCACGAGTTGCCCTATATGTACTAATAGGCCTTAAATTTTCAATATTAGATGTTTCATTTCTCCATATTCCAGATATTGTTCTTTCTTCCTTTATGATCAACAAAATTGGATGGACAATATATTTGTTCACATAATGATTTGTATTTTTCGTCATTAAAAAATTATGTAAATTTACACTTGTCATAACTAATCGATCAACTGTTGACGAACAAGCACATATCGGACGAAATATTCGTCATCTTGATACTAAAATACCAAAAATATTTTTAATTACATGTTTTGCACATGATAAGCGATAATTGAATATGCTTTTATCATTACTTAAATATCGATTAGAATATGAACGCATAACATTTTTATGTAATTAAAAAGCTTCATCACCGACTACAAAGTAAAGCAATTCTATGAGAGAGGGTAATTTATTTGTCTCGTGTAATATATTTAACGTGCAATTATATAATGCTTTCCCAAATAATGATTTGGATAATATACTAGTACAATCACTGCCACTCATGTCAACCAACGTAAATTTATATTGATGACACATGGCCATAAGCACTATACTAAAAATCTTTTTATAATTAAACTACCCGATTTTGCTAGTGCTTGTATTTGGATATGCTTTCCGTCTGCATCAATTATATTTGGAAAATTCCAATTTTGCCAATTTCCTGTACTTATATTTAATAATTTAGTGATATAATAGCATATAATATCTTCGTTTTCCATGGCTGCATTTAGCAGAAAAAGCAGTATTGCAACTGTTGTAAAATTGTTGTCCTTTAATATGATTGATTTATATATTTAGAGGAACTAATGTATGTAATGTAAAAACCGATCATATCAACGATTTTTACAACAGTTGCAAAGCTGCTTTCTCTGAAAAGAGAGAACGCAGCACATGTTAACATTAATAAAAACATAAAATATATCTTTTGTAGATGTTATTAAAATAAATAAAATCTTTTAAAATGTATAAGGAAAATTATCCAATTACATTTTATGTATATTCTTATAATAAAAATGCGATTAATTTTCTTTATGTACGTGATTATGTAGCTTTGCAAGTTTGTCTAGATAGGTCATTATTGTGATTATAGTTATGCATATGATTATGCTGTTATGCAAGTTTGTCTGGATAGGCCCTTAGCGCTATAAATGCGAATTATTTGGAACGTCGTTTTATCCGATCCACTTCGAAGCGTTCCAACAGCACATATGATGTCTGCACATATGATGTGATTAATACGTCATAGATTTTTACTTCCAACTCGCTCCCAATGTTATTGCTTGGAGATTAAAGCGTAGAGTTTGAATATACAAAATGCGGGAAAGCTCAACGAACGAAAGCGTATATCGTGGTAAGTAGTGTGGCGATCTGATTTATTTTTGCGTGTAATGCATGTTTCGTTTCTGTTATTGTACTAATTTTTCAAAATTATTTTTATTATGTATTGCATCAAATATTTAGAGATAAAATGCCATAAAATTAGAAAGGAGATATAATAAAGGAATAAAGGATAATTTATAATATAGAAGTTTCTGAAGAGGATGCTGTTAGGGCTAACCAAAGTAATGTTACAATGATCTATAATGATTTACATGTAATTTTATTTAAAATAAATTAAAAAAAATAAACGTCTTTTATTTTTTTGAGATATGTGCAATTACTTGTTCTGAAATGTTTTCTTCATAAATACAAGATAGTGGTTCTAAAAAAGTCTTAACAACATAAGCTAATATAACTTTTCTATCTCATCAGAATTCATGATCACAGAATATATTTGTAAACACAATTCCGACTATTTTAACTTGCGTAATGTTGGCAACATTAGTAGCGCTAATGGACCGTTTTACGAGCAAACGAAAGCAAAAGCGTCTGAAGCATTTGTAATACTGAATGAATCGCATCCTCTGTCGATTATCGCCGACGATTACCATCAGAGTCATATGATCAGTCGATCTCGCCATCTTTAAATGTCAACCATGATCAGTTTTAGGTTGCGTTCCGATATTCAGTGCCAGTACTGAAAATATATAATTCAGATCACGTGTATTATAGATTTTCAGTACATGCAGTGAATATCGGAATGCAGTCTTAGTATATTCTGGCTGAGTTCAGAGAGCGCGCTATTAGAACTATCGCATCATTCCTTAATTTACATATAATGAGCAATAAAGATGAAATGATGGTAGTGCTAATAGCACGCTTCCCAAATGCAGCCTCTGAATCTATCTTAACGATAAGTTTTGGTCAATTTTAATGGAATAATTGATCAACCGATCAAGTTAATCAGGGATGACGAGACTGGCTCATAAGATCGGATGAGGTTTGCATTTGTTCTTTCGACTGCAATCTGAAACAATCTGAAGACATCATCCTTGACCATTAAGTATTGTAAGAATTAGACGACCGTAAGCGGTCATGAAAGAGATTCGGAATATAAACAGCTAACAGAGAGGAGCCGTCGTGGTCGTGCAGATTAAGTGTCGGATTGGTAGACGAGGGATCCCGAGTTCAAATCCAGTCGGTCTCCGTTAATTTTTTCCGAATCTAATAGATATCTTTCAGTATGGTCAAGTATATCAATACTCGAAATTCGAGAGCACGTGAAGGCACTGTGGCGGCTGGTGTTGGAGGAGCGTTGTCCACGATATGATGTAGAATTTTTGGTGACGGAAAAAAGTGTTGGCCGCAGTGGGATTCGAACCTGTGGTCCTCAGGTGTATGAGTCTCGAGCGCTACCACTGCGCTGTGCGGGCCACGGTACTTTTTGTGTATGTTTCTACTAGGTATTAGTTGTATGAGCGGGGGACCGCCACAGGCTCCCCCCTTAGTGGACAAGCTCCGGAGATTCTTCTCTGTGTGCCCGTTGTCCGGTGTGTCTGCCCAGGGGAGATATGTGATGCGCGATGTGAGGAGGGCAAGTTGCCGCTGCGACTCTTGTGCGCTAGTTGCTTCTCCGTTGCGTGGGCGAGCCATGTGGACATCGACAGTGAGGTTGGAGCGTAACCTTGAAAGTCGAGGGTGTCCAGTGATTGGCTGGCTGTACCGGTGGCGATGTGGGCTGGCCGTATGGACGTCGACAGGGAGATGTGTGAGAGACCTCGGCAAGTCGAGTGCGTCCGATGATTGGCCAAGGAGAGTCACGTGATCGAAAGCAGCGGGCTTTATAAGGCCGTGTCTGTATTTCGATGTGTGGAGTTCAGAAGGTTGCGTGTTCATATCACGTCGGGGTCACCAAGTTGTGGCGGCTGGTGTTGGAGGAGCGTTGTCCACGATATGATGTAGAATTTTTGGTGACGGAAAAAAGTGTTGGCCGCAGTGGGATTCGAACCTGTGGTCCTCAGGTGTATGAGTCTCGAGCGCTACCACTGCGCTGTGCGGGCCACGGTGGTGACCCCGACGTGATATGAACACGCAACCTTCTGAACTCCACACATCGAAATACAGACACGGCCTTATAAAGCCCGCTGCTTTCGATCACGTGACTCTCCTTGGCCAATCATCGGACGCACTCGACTTGCCGAGGTCTCTCACACATCTCCCTGTCGACGTCCATACGGCCAGCCCACATCGCCACCGGTA